TTGGTTTTTAGTTTACTCTCAAAGTTGGCCTGTGTGTATTGGATAGCAAGTGAAATTACTTGTAATGCATTACATGGAAAACTTTTCCAACATCTTTGCTGTACTTGGTACTGCAGTTTTTGTTGTGGCCTTTAAGGCGCTTTCGCAAAGTCTTGGCCAGGAATTGGCCCGCTCCGTTGTCCTTTGCCGCCTCGGTTGTCTGCCAACTTGTTCCCCACACACTCCCTTCCGCCCCTGCAGTTTAGGGGATTATTGGCCAGTTTATGCAACTGCCTCCTCCACTCTGCCACTCTTCCACTCCTCCACAAACTGACAGCTTGGCTTACGGCGCTATCTATCGATATTCATGCCCATGACCTAAACCGTCCTGTGGTCAAATTGGTCAAGAAATTTGTCCGCAAAGTTCACTGAGTTACTCGAATCCAATATGGTAATTATTTTTTCAACTCTAGGGGAGGAGAGGGCGCCTTTAAATATAAAGTACTTAATACAATAAATTATTAAATTCATTTAATTTACCATTATAGATCGGTATAAAGAACTATATTCGTAATAAAAGTATTATTTTAATATACGTAACCACTTTACAAATTGTAATTAAAATGTTCAGTTCCTTTCCCCTTTCTATATATAAAATTCTTATTAAAAGTGTATCCCTACTTGTACTAAAATGAACCTGGTTAAATGGGTGACATGCCTGCTTACACCAAGATTGTGCTGATCCAGAGGGAATGTTGCTATAGTGCCTTTGCATATGCTCTTAGCCTTTGTCCTGGCAACATTTGGAACAAAGGACATCACTCCAGGTGGCCATGTGAGAGGCTGGAACGCTTTGCCGTGGTAATTGCTGTTATTACAACTGTTTGCTTGTTTGTACTTCCCTGGTTCTGGCGTGACTGCAGTCTGCTGCATTTAACCTAAAGACTTAATGCGCTTTGTCGAGGCAACAGAACACCTGCATTTACCTTATCACAGGTAAACCGTACAAAAATATTGAAATGAGAAAAAGATAAATGAGAAAAAAGAAACAAAAACTTAATGTAATATGTAATCATTTACCTTGACATATTTTCTTTAGATTCCTGTAACAATTTAGCATAATTGTGATCTTCCTCTAAAGTATTTCCATGTAATCAATTGGCACAGTTAAAGTTTATTGGAGCCACCTTAAGGTCCTTGTAAGACAAGACTCCAATTTAAGGAAGTAAAAACTTCCTTAAGAGTTTCGATACTTTGTTGCGATATTCTAATTTAATGGGACTCAAGGCATGACCTTAGTTTATATCTTTTCCCGTCTAAAAACCACGAAAAATACAACTTTTGAAAGTTTTTCCACAACTTGTAAGTGTTGGGTGGGGAACACAGGAGGTTAGTCATGGTACTTGTACGTCAAGTACCGAAAGTAGCTGGAAACCGCACGAAAGGTTGTCAAATAAAATCTTAGAAAAAAAAAATATAAAAATGCAGTAAATGATGTGGCACTGCAATCATTTTTGTTACATCAAATTCTAAGTTATATTCAGATTTAGCAGATTGAAAACTCAAGCATATTTAATCTTTGCAGTAAATATATGATCACGTCCAAAAATAATAGTTTTTCTCCTTTTTCGTTACTTTAAAGCTTAAACATTAAGAACTTTCAGAAATTACATACAATATATTTCATAACATTAACAACTCGAAAAACATTTATTTTTAACTCTGGAGCCAAGTTTTAAGTTAAAGAACTTCAATTTGAACATAACAACATATGTTCCTTCTGCCTAAATATGTTTTCCTTTACACACCGTCTTCCAATTTCAATGCTATATTGATGTTTACTTTTAATTTGTATTTAACTAGAGGCGAAATGTATATTTCATATGGGGTAAGAGACGTTACCTTCTGCCCATTTTATACAAAGAAAAAATTCAATTGAGTCAGCCATATTTCCAATATTCGGATGTATATTATATTTTTATAAAAACAACTACAAAATTAGTCCAAATTAGCTAAGTATCAAAGATACTTGTTGAATCAACTTTGCCTTTCTCTCACTAAATCCTAATGTCATCTATCAATTACAAACTGAAAACTGTAATCGAATTGCAGATCGATATGAAAAGCATATCCACGGAATTGTAGTCGTGTTCTTCGACCCATTTTTCAAGCACGGATCCCTATCTGTGAGGTTTTTAGCCAAGAGTACTGTCAGTACTCAACTCGAGAGCCATTTAAGCGGTTTCGTTGTCCGCCCTGAGCGTACTAAATTGAATCATCATTTTATGCACTTTAAAAATGAATAATGCCAAGTGGGATTTGGACTGGTCCTCTTCTGCTGTGATTTAGCTGGGAATGTCACAAAGTAACCAGCTCCGTAACTCTGCTGTATCTTATCCCCATCTCCGCTGAAGCGCATTAAATTCTCGTTTGTCCTGGCACTCTCGTAACGGATCGATATGCAGGAGAGAATTCGGGTTAATGGAATATAAGTGAGTCGAAATGAAAATAGCCTTTTCCCCTAGTTCAATTCACACTTCAAGACTTGAAGACTGGACTGTAATTTTTACTTTCAGCCAGATTTGTTGCTTCTATATCGAGTTTCTAATTTCGTTGCCAGCCTCAATGGAAAATTGACAAAACATACAAAAAAAACCAAAAAGATAAAGATAACTTTTTGTCTTGGAAAAGTCAGGAACTGAATTGGTTTTCTGTTTCGTTTTTACTTCATTTTTGTGCTGGCCTTTTCTTTGGTCAAGCGCGTTTTGCAGACACCCGCTCCCTCTGTTCCCTATAACCGAATAGCGAAAGTAGTTTTCAGCTGGTTTTTCCGCTTCCACGTAGCTTTTCTTATTTATTTGTGCCATTTGTGCAGCAGCACCTGAGCCGTTTTCGCGGGGAGGCGTTCGGTACAAAATGAAAAGTGCCGGGCGGAAAAACTGGAAAGCAACAGGCAATATGTAAGTCAAGGTGTCACTGATTGGAATTGAGAAAAATATAATCAACATGATATACCTTTTCTTTAAAAGGAATACATATGTGAATATGTGTGTACCTTTAATATAAACATCAATTAAAACAATAGAACAAATGGTGGTTAAATACACTTACTTACTCGGTTATTTTCGTTTTCATTGCGCTACATTTCCACGTTTATTTAGAGTTTCTATTGCTGCCACCTTTGGCACATTTTCCAAGCAATTCCCTCCCCCTTGGGTTTTTAGCTTTTGTTTAATCAGTCTCTGAGAGAGCTTTCCACATTGTTGAATCACATGAATTGAAGCGGGGAAAAACCTTTGTACCGCTTTGTGGGTCAACTGCTGAAAATGACCCCTTGGCCAAGGGCTCCCTTAATTTTCCTCATTGCAGGTCGTTCCTTTTACTCTGGCTTGATTCATTATAAAGTTTGCACATAAAAAAAGGGGGCGAAACGAGATGGGAAGCTAGTTACGGTAAACCGACTATTGGTTATCCTTTCTTAGAAAAGATCTCTATTATATTTTCATTAAGAAACAATGATCTTTGTTGTTAAGTATTAATACTATACCTAATTGTGAAGAGTACGTTTTTGTATCTTTAAGATCTGCATACTCTTATAAGGATTAGTTTAGGTTTCTTCCTTTATAATAATTTTCAGAAGAATAAAAGCTACTCTTTTAGTTTAAACTGATTAACCAGAGTATAACCCCGAAAGAGTATAATATTCATTGTTTAATATTAGCTTAACCATTCAGTTTAGTTATCCAACCTCTCTCTCGCAATGCTCAATTTTTAAACCTTTGCAGTTTATTTTGAAATTAAGGACTCAGTTTTTCCTTTTTTTTCACCCAGTGATTCTGTGTAAATTCCCGGCTGTCTCTTTGAAGTTGTACCCGCATCATACCGACCCGTTTTTATATGTCAAAGTATTTTACAGTATTTTTTGTGGCAAAGTTTTAATTAATTAAATGCCAATTGCAATGAACACCCCAAGCATTAAAGTAATTAAAGCAATGTATTCAGACTGTCTTTACTTGGTACAAAAAAGGAATATATTTTCAACAGACATACAAGAATTTGTTTACTTTAATTAAGGTATTGAAATTGCTCTACTTTTACAAAAACCTTTTTTAGGTATATATCAAAGATATAGTGCAGCTGTTGTTATTCGTCTTTGAATACAACTTAAATTTCGAACAGTATTATGGAATATTATTTAGGAGAAGAGTTCAAACAGCTTGATGTTATGACCTTAGTTTTTCAGGATCTGCACATTCACCAGTTGGGAAAATTCTCCATTACGCAATCAGACGGGCTTTTTAAGCCTCGCCTTTTAGCCTCAACTGGCAGACAAAAATTCTCACTTAAGTAATGCAGTTATGCGTCCAAGTGTGTGTGCTGTGTGTGTTCTGTGTAAGTGCATTAAAAATGTTGTGGAAGTCGTAACTGGGGAAAAAGGTTCCGAATTTTGTCGACCCCAAACGATGTCTGTCTTGCCATTTCCCTGTCGCCATTTCTCGTTTTCCATTTTTCCAGTCCATCTGCCAAAATAAATATGTTTTTGCCACTCGCAGAGCGGTCTTGCCACGCCCCCACAAGTGCCACTTGCCATCTGTGGCATGTGCAACAACTTTGAGCCGTCAGGACCATTGCATCAGTATAAATGCAGTTCTCAGTCCCCGCCACATCCCGCCTCATAAATGCAATCAAATGTTGAAAGTATTAAGTGAAGGTAAAGTCCCAAGTGTCGGCTGGGACCTGAAAGGCCAAAGGCCTCAAAGACCACCTAACGTGGACATTTGTGATTGGTATTGTACTTCAATTTCCGGCATACAATTTAAATTAAATTGCAGTTTGCCCAAATTGTTCTTTCTAATTGATTTTCAAGTTAAAAATGTACATTGTTGAGAACAAAGTACAAGTTAGATTGATGTGAAATATGTATTTATGTCCCTTTTAATTAAGGAAACATTTACTACTTATAAATATAATAATAATTGCTATTTAAATTCTAACTACTTGATTTTTGTCTCCATTTACAGGTCATGAACGACTGAACGAATACATATCCCACTACGAAACACTCAACTATGATCACGAGCACATTCGAGCTAGTCACAATAGAGCGCGACGATCAGTGACCAAAGATCATTATGTATATTTAAAGTTTGCATCACATGGAAGAGACTTCCATCTTAGATTAAAGCGTGATTTAAATACATTTAGCAATAAGTTAGACGTGAGTATTGCATATCTAATACACAAATGTAATAATATTTTTAATAATGTATTTCCATTTCCAGTTTTATGATAGCAAGGGCCCCATTGATGTCTCCACGGATCATATCTATGAGGGCGATGTGATAGGGGATCGTAATAGTTATGTATTTGGTTCCATACACAATGGGGTATTTGAGGGTAAAATTATAACGGAACGTGATGCCTATTATGTTGAACATGCCAAACATTATTTTCCCACAAATCGCACGGCGACAACACCGACAACTTCGTCGAAATTCTCGACAACGACATCCACCCCAAGGAGCACCATAAAAAATACACAGCCAACACGGCCTTTGGGCCCCCAAGAACTCGACAGTAACAACAACAGAACTGCCTTCGATAGTAAGACAGAAAACTTTATAAAGAAAATTGCTGAATCCACAACGACGTCACCGGACTCAACGTCGTCGTCAACAACAACAACAACATTCCCACCCACAACGGAAAATTCGCATGAGGAAAAGGAGGATAATGCTGAGGATGGACTTGATTTTCACTCCATTATCTATAAGGAGTCACATGTCGAGGACGCCTACGAAAATGTGCGCGAAGGTAAGTCGAAATAAGGTTCCTTCCCCCATCTTCGCATCGCAGTAACTTAGTTGCCGAACCAGAAATGAAAAATTCCCTCGCACATTGTTAAATGTGATTTATTTGGCTGACATCGTCAGAAGTTTTCTTTCTTGTGAGCTTTTCATTCTATACCCTCTCGCATCCAAGTCAACCTTGAAATTGTTTGATAACATTTCGTTGCTGTTTTGACACCTGAGTTATGACAGTCGCGAGTGACTGCTAATCATTTTTGTTATGCTCATCTCCCGTGTTACTTGTCGGGTTGTCAACCGGCTCAAGGATGGCTGTCGGTAGAGACTGGGATATAAAGGTGGCTTTGGTTCAGAAGTTTTTGAGCTTAACAAGTTGTTTACCGGAGCGTTGAGCTATGTATGAGCTCATGGAATGTCAAAGTTAAAGTTGCGGTTTAATGGATGAATCACAATTTTAGGAACTAAGAAGTACTCAGCTTGAAGTTGTATGGTTTTTTTTGTAACTTGATTAAGTAGCTCTTGGAAGGCTCTTTTAGTAGCTCTTTTAACTCCCACAGTTCTTTTCGTGTGTGTAACATGTTGACAAGGCCAAGGTTTAAAGACTGTCATATAGGCAGATGCTTTATACCATATAGATCCTCTCATTTTGACAACTGAAATTGAGACAGAAATAAATTGCCAGCGGCTATGGTAACTTTGAACCATCAGCACAGGCAAAAATCGAACTGGCAGGAAAAACTCCCATTCTAATGGAAAAAAGGTCGCGTTCATGCAAAAAGACATCAAAACGACTTCATTTTAAGAGCAAGCCATGCATGAGGAGAATAAAAGGAATAATTCCCTCGCCGGTTCAATGGTCAATTTTGTATGCAACCCGGCAACAATGGCGCTGGCGAAGAAGGTGTGCCCTCTAGACCCGTACACACTCGTACGTAATATCGCTGCAACAATGACACTGACAATGAAAAGTTGCAATTGCAAACAGAGCAAAAAAAAATAAAATAAAGGCAGCAGCAGCAGCCAAGAGCGGATGCATCGTCGTTGTTATTGTGCAGGCGGCACCACCGACAACTATGACGATATCAGGTTCCAGCCCGACGGCTGATTCACACAAAAGCACACGAAGAAAATGTGTATACTCATTTTATTCGTAATAGATATAGGTTTTTATTATAGTAAATCCGTAGACTTTTCTATATACGTGACGTTTTTAACGGAAATTACTCGTATAAGTAGTTTTAATGATAATCAAAAATAATTAATGAGTTCTAAAAAAAAATTATACTCTCAGCTGAGAAATTGTCTTCATATTGATAAAAAGATGCATAACGCCCATACATTTTCATTTCAATAAGCAAACCATTGTACCACTGCAATTGACAACTTTGCGGCTTTCTCGCTAGCACAAACTTGAGAACATAAAAATCCAAACATTTAAATAATTCAGTTCCTTGCGTGAGTACACACAGAACAAGATTGCGTACAGATCTAGATTGCTTGAGGTTATATTCGATGTGTAACTTCGATATGCTCTTTCTCATCAATCTCTTTAATAAAATCCAAGAGAGTCTTAAGTCAGAACAAAGAATTCGACAATATGAACTCATATGGCGTTACTCATCTTGTTATTATAATGTCTTTGATTGAGGATAAGCTACATGCTTCCAAAATTTGAAGCTAAAAATTCACATTCGAGTGCAAACGTCGTTCGTTTTTCCTATACCTTCGCAATATACAATATTCTGTCTGAATCTAGAGAACTTGATCCATTTTATGGCTTCCTAGATATTTCTTACAGTGTATAGACAGGTTCCCACAGCCATTGGTAGACAATGGGCGAATGCCACGCCCACATAAAGTTGTCGCTGCAACTGTTTTTGCAACAAAAGAAGTGGAATCTAATGCATAGCTAAACAACTGAAATGGGAGCAGCAGCGGTATGTTTTTTGGCTAGCGTTTTGCTGACCAACTTTTGTTTTTTTGTTTTTGTTTTTGACAATTTACCATTGTTGTTGAATGCAAAAATTGTATGCAATTTGGCATTCCCACAGCGGACCCACAAAATACTCACACACAAACACAAAACACTTGATAAAACTACGGTCATGGGTAGTGTATTTAGTTGAGTTGTTGGTTTTGCTTTGCGTTTGGGGGCGTGGTTTATTCCCTTTAATGAGCTTTACACCCTTGTGTTCACATGCCAATAAAAGTAAGTTATTTTTTGTTGTTGGAGTTATAAAACAAATTGCGTGATGCTTTTAAATACATTTCAAAGAACTTGATTGTTATTCTTCCCTAATGTTCCAATAAAATGATGAATTTGGATTGCCTACGAGGATTATTCTTAGAGCTTAAATTTATTAACTATATTCTTGATTCCTGTTAGGTGTGGAATTCAGCTTGAAAGTTTCCATAAGGATTCGTAGATTTGTATGCTTTGCAAGGGATATTTCTACATTCTCTTAAATTTTCTTGTATTAATAAATTAATACAATACGGTAGGTAACTCAATAAAAACCTTTTCAATGGAAAAAGTGGAAAAAAGACTAATTTATGAATTTTTATTCTTCTCTGGTCCACGTCCTCAATTCCATACATTCTTTTCACAGACTCCCCTTACTTTTCTCAAGTTGTTTTTTTTCAGCACTTATTATCCAGTGAGTCCTGGGGCAAGAACGCAACTGTGTCGCGAGGTGTTTACGTTTCTTAACTTATCAGAAGCTGTTTCTGCCCCTTTTAGCAATCTCGCACTCCCCGCCACACTTTTAATGGCATTTTAGCAGCATATTAACTTTTGTAGTGGAAATGAGCAGTCGTCGACGACGGACCCTAGATTACATTGTTGGAGTGTACACACATTCGCTCACTCACTCGAACGTGGCAGCGGCAGGGGGTGCGTTAAGTGCGTGTTAAAACCGACCAAGCGGCGCACGCACATTGCTTATCCGCCCCTACATCCCACATCCCACATGCCACTCCACCCACCCTCCCACGAAATGCACCCTCCTTATTTACCCCTTCGCACGATGCCTCTGGCTGCTCCTAGTAACGGAGCGTGAGCACAGCGACCCCTAGGAACCAGCCAAGGGGTTAACATACGCCACAACACAAGTACTCAATTACACTGGCCAGAAATTCTCTTTATAGAGGGTAAAGACTCGAATAAATATTATATTCCTATTATGATTATCCTACTAGAATTTAAGATAACAAAATTTATACATTTTATACGATATCTTAACTAGAAATCATAAATGTAAGAAAATATCGATCGTCAGTACTGTAGTGATATTTGAAACGAAAGTCGATAGCGTTACGATACACATGCGATTAATCGATATTCTTATACAATCTGTCGATTTGTGTCATTTGTGTTTCTGTGTTATTTAGGGAACTAAAATAATCAGAACAATTTAAAAATCAACTGCCGAATGTATTGTGAAGTTAAAAGGAACATATACCTGGCTTATTTACTTTGTTCAATTATGCTTAAATTGATAAAAAAAAATTACATTAAGCAGGGTGATAAGCAGACGATAGTAAAGAAATATGTTGCTAGGAACACAATACGCAGCACACAAATGTTGCTAAGAACATAACATTGCAATGTTATAACATGATTCTGTAATTCTACGAACTAATCGATAAGATCGTTAAATGCGATACATTTGATATGTACATTTTCTATAGTCAGCGTTCGATCGATATAAAAAACATGTCTCTACTAGAAAGCCTACCACTCGAAATACATTTTTTAAAGTTTGTTTTTGGTTTTATATATTTATAATTTATAAAATGATGATATTTCTTAGCATTTTGTTTGATTTCCTCTCAGTGAATCCGAGTGAAACCTCGCTCTTGCTCCTGCTACTGATGCTGCCTGGAAATCACAATTTACACACAATGTTGTAATATAATTTTTGCACAGCGAAACACTGGGCAACTCAAGTGGCACATTGTGTGCTGGCGTCACTGTTGCTCCTTATACAGTACTTCGTTGGATGCCCTGCACATCCCACATCCCAGTCCCCTTTCCGTTTATTCTTTGGGACCTTGAGTGCATTGACCATGCCTGTGGGAACTTTATGCGCAGTTGCTGCAGCTGCCATAAATGCAATGTGGCTCACACTTATTTACGACTATTTGATTGCACTCGCTAACGTTATGCTAATTTATAGAACGAATCCCCATTTCCCGGGCAACCTTTTTGGGCCCATTATGAACTCTGAATAAATGTCAACGACACGCAGAAGTTTTTAACTCATTTAACTTTGAATTGCCCAAATTCGTTGCTAAAACTGGCATGAACAAATAGGTCAATAGTAGCATTAACAGAGAGCTGTTTAAATTACAAATTATTAAATAATAAACGAGATGCTGTGTTTGGAATTTAAACAAAATCAGTGAAGTTGCTAATAAAACGGATCGATAAACTAAAATCATGATTGTTTTGTGTCTATTTTTGGAGTAATTCTGTCTGACAAAGTGATTGATTTTAACTTTATCCAGCTATATGGGCTTGCCCAGCTCTTCGTCGTGCTATGAATATGTATCAGTCAACGAAGCATGAAATAAGCACCCAAAAAAAAAAGAATACATAAATACAGGATTTACGCCGCGTTTCGATAACGATGATGATGACGATGCCGTCGGCAATGTTGACGCTGGCATAACATACAATAATTTCCGGTATTTGATAACAGCAACAACAGCAACAACAGCAACAAGGGAAGCCGAAGCGACCCTATTCGGTATGAAGTACGGAGTATGGAAGTATGGAGTTTGCAATTGTAAACAAACAATTTCATGCTACGCTGCGCAAGAAAGTTCTCCCTTATGCCGCCTGCCATTTCACTACCCATAGTTCTATTGAAAACCCCCTTTTATAGTGGTACAAATACACAAATAAAAAAAAATGGAGCCCAAAATTGACAAGCGACAGTCAGGGCAGGCGGGAAATACTTTTTTTTCCTTCTCTTTGCGTTATATTCCTCTTGTCAGTTCTTT